ATCTTCAAAAATGAACAACTGTTCAATTCTTAAAGAGTATCATTTGACATTTTTAGGTATGATTTTTATCGTTTTTTCTTTATTGAACCTTTGAGGGGATAGATTTTGAAATTATTTTTCCAATAAACTAATATTTAATAGACTTTTAAAAACCTAAAGCTTCCAATTAGTATTTATTGGGTATTGTTCAGAAATGTTTATTAATATTTTTTTTCAAAATAGGAAAAAGAAACTCTTATATTCCTATCTGAATTTTGAGAAGTTTCATCTGCTAATAATAAAGAGCTAGAGATGTCTGTTTTGCTCTGTTGTTTAATACTCTTCTCTAATAGCTCCAACTGTTATCACAACCTCAACCTCCCTCCCCCAACAAGCTAATCATTGGAATTTGCAACTTCATCATTTCTCTTCTTTAATCCATATCCTAACCAACTTTCTTGGCTCAGATGTATAATTTTACTGGGAAGTCTTCCCTGATGAATATTTGCTGAATGAATGAATTTATGAATGTATAACTTTAGCTAACAACTAGGTAGGACAGTGGATAGACCACCAGGCTTGGAGTTCAAATGGCCTCAGACACTTACTAGCTGTGTGACCCTGCACAAGTCACTTAACCCTATTTGCCTCAGTTTCCTCATCTGTATAATGAACTAGAGAAGGAAATGGCAAACCAATCTAGTATCTTTGCCAAGTAATCCCTGTATGGGTTCACAAAGAGTTGGACATGACTGAAAAATGATTGAACAATAACAAAAACTTTAGCTCATGCTCTCTTTCCCTTTAAGTCCCTTTGCACTGGCTCTATGCCTGGAACATTCTGCCCCATCACCTCTGGTTTTTAGTTTCTATGGCTTCCTCTAAAAACTGTTCAAAGATAGAGGTCTGTGGATGCAGGAGTTGTGTGTGGCAGCAGCAAGAGTGGTGGTGGTAGCAGTGGTGGGGAACGTTTTAGTGTCCAGGAATGGTAATGGGGCTTTGGCTGATCACTACTTTTCTATACTGCATGAATAACTATATAGTATCTTATTGTTACACGTTTATCTTGTCACTTCAGATATTTCAATCCATACTTCAACCAACAAATATTTGTTGAACACAACCTATATGCAGAGTATCCCTTTCCTCAAAGAATTATTAGTCTTTATATGGAAGGTTACACGCAAATACAAGGAAAAATCAAATTATAAGAATTAAATAATATTACATAAAATCAAGCCATGTCACAAGGCTGAGCATAACTGATTAAACACTTTATGGACAGGGTTGCTTAATTTTACCCCATGCCCCTCAGCATAAGTTTGTGGAAAACTCACAAATAAGTACACCCTTGGCAGATCAAAATCTTCTAAATTAACTTTTAAATATACACAAGACAGTCTACAAGCAGTTGCTATGCTTACTATGTGCCAGAGAATTCAATTATTGGATATTCAAAGAAAGGAAAAAACAGTACCTGCCCTGAAAGAGTTTCAGATCCAATTTTTACCCCTGTCCCTGGGTAACCTATGTTCCCAAGTATAATCAATATTTTGAGTTTTACCTACATCTAACAAGATCTCATTTGGTAAACATTTTAATAGGATTTAAAGAAATTAAGCATTGCTTTAGAACAGGGGATAAACCATGCATTTTGCAATTTGTGTTAAAATATTACAATTTGGAATGAGTAAGGGAAGAATTTACAGGGCATATATTTTTAAGTATGAAGAGAAAGCGAATAGAAAGTCAGTCAGGAAGATACAAGTTCAAGGTTTGCCTCTTACTTGTACTAGCTGTGTGGCCTGGGGTGAGTCACTTCTCAATGACTTAGCAACTCTTTTAGAATATAAATTGCAGAGAAGGATCCAACCCAAATTGGCACTCGTCTGTGAGTTCACTGTGGCAATGAGATCACAGGTTCAGCCCCTATCTTTATGTTTAAGTATGGAATGAATTCATTATTTTCAAACTGATAATTAATATTTTGTGAAGGAAGGAAAAAGGGTGATGAAGACTTCTTCAAAAGGAAAAAAAATGTGTTGGTGAAAAAATAAAAATTCAAAAAACCATTGTGTGACACCAATGTGGTGACAAGGCATTTCTTGGCATTTATTCAAACATGTAAAAATCGCTAACCTTATTCCTAGATGAAGTGTAATTCAAGGAGAGAAAGAAAGCTTGTGACAGTTTTGTCATTAAGCATGTACAATGGTTTTGCCATACTACTGACATTGGTTTTAATAATGTACATTGAAATGATAGCAAATATTGCCAAAGACAATGTAGACTAGAGCAATTTTATATAAGGTTCGGGAATCTCATCACCAAATCTGGTCAAGGTAAAAATGTGGTTTTATAAGAAAAATCAATCATCTCTGCTTACATCTCTGCTGCTAATCTAATGATTGATTAGCTGTAAGAAGGGGGAAAGTAAAAACCAACTGCAAAGCTGGGGAAGGTATGGAGATGGTCTAAATCTATTTGCACGTCAGAAATAACACAAAAGATCGTAACTCTTATGTACATCTGTAACAGAATGCTACGTTTCTAATTATGGTACAAGCTCAGTTAATCAAGTAGTCAAAAAGCATTTCTTAAGTGGCTACAAAGCAGTTACAAAGAAAGGGGGGAAAAAGGCAAAAACCAATAATCTCTGCCCTCACGGACTGCACATTCGAATGGAGGGCAACAACGTATAAACAAGTAGGCACATATAAGAAATATAGAGTAGCTAGGTGGCACAATGGATATCGTGCTGGGCTTGCAGTCAAGTACTAGCTGTGTGACCCTGGGCAAGTCACTTAACCCTGTTTGCCTTGGTTTCCTCACCTGTAAAATGAGATGGAGAAGGAAATGGCAAACCATTACAATATCTTTGCCAAGAAAACCCCAAATAGGGTCATGAAGAATCAGATACAACTGAAATGACTGACCAAAAACAAATATAAGATACAGAGAGAGTAGATGAAGGCAGCCTCAGGAGGAAGGCATTAATTAGCAGCTGAGGCTTGGGAGGAAGTGGGAATGAGAAGGGCTTCTCACAAAAGGTGAGATTTGAACAGTTTTTAGAGGAAGCCATAGAAACTAAAAACCAGAGGTGATGGGGCAGAATGTTCCAGGCATAGAGCCAGTGCAAAGGAATAAATATGGTGATGAAAGCTGGAAAAGTTAGGTTATGAAGATCTTTAAATACCAAACAGACTACTGGAACTCACTGAGCAGGAGAATCTTAGCTTTAGAAAAATCGACTTGACATTTGAGTAGAGAATGGATTAGAGTGGTGGGGAGGGACCTGAGGCAGGGAGACCCAACAAGAAGTCTACTGTTATAGTTCAGATAAGAGAGGCTCTACTAGAGAGGTAGGTATGTGAATAGAGAAAAGGGGACATAGAAGGGATGTTGTGAAGCTAGAAATGACAAGATCTGGCTATACATGGTGAAAGAGTAAGGAACCCAGGATGATAGCAAGGTTTCCCACCTAGCCTGGTTGGGAGAAAAGTAGTGCCTTCTACAGTAATAGAGAAGTTCTGAAGGGGGTAAAGATAATGAATTCTGTTTTGGACATATGGAGTTTGAGATGATTACCCACATTGAGTCAGTATTCACTGAGAAATGTCTAAGAGGCAGTGAAATTTTTAACTTTTTTTTTCAGTAAACAAACATTAATTTCTCTACTTGTCCCCTTAGACATTAAGATACCTAAAATTTAAGGTGCTTACTTAATTTTTTAAACTCAAAAGAAATTTTAAAAATTAATTTAACATTTAAATAAATTAGAAATTCAGTTAAACATATCATTTGAATGTATAGTATTTATGTAAATATATTTATAGAAATCATATTTTAAATAAATGCTTTGCACATACATGAATTATTTTAAATAAGTATAAACCATTTAAATGTATTTAAAATAATTTATTCATACATATACCATTTATATAAAATATGATTTCTATAAGTATATTTACATAAATACTATACACTTAAATGATATATAAACATTTTATAATTTTATTTAAAGTCTTTAAAATTTAAATTGTGAGGATCCATCCCTTCAAGTGAAGATTCAATTTGAGTGTTCTGCAAGTCTTCTAATCCTAGCCTGCTCTACTCTTTTATTTAAACATATTTATAGAAAGTAAAATAAATATATTTGTATAAAATGTATTTATATAAAATAACATTTATATAAAACAATAGAAATATATATAAAATGGAAATGTTTATATATTTACATACAATTTAGAAACATTTATATAACATAGGCATGTTTACATAAATATATTTTATTAAATACACATATATAATTTAAATTGATTTAAAACTTAAAAAGCTGAAATTATAGAGGTTCATCTCTTCAAAGGAAGATTCTGGGTGTTTTGAAAATCCTTAATCTCACCCTGCTTGGCTCTTTAAATATATATATTTGCCTAGTTATATAAAATATTCACATACTATATGAACATATTTTTGTATTTTAATTTTTATTTAAATTGTGGGAGTCCACCCCTTCGAGCCAAGGCAGGTTCAGTCTGGGTGTCGCTGGGCTCTTTTCACCCTGGAGCCCTCTCTAGGAAGGTGGCGCTGTGGTTTCCGGGAGACCTTCGAGTTTCCCAGCTTCCGCCCACAAGCGCAGCGAACTTCACCCCTCTTCCTTTCCTCCCACCCTCCACGGCGCCTTGGAGGCTGCGCGCGCACCCTTCCAGATGCCGCGGCACGCGGTAAGAGGGAAAGCTCAGAGGCTGCGAGGCACTCGCCCCACGCGCCACGATCGCGCTCCCCTTCCTGTCCTGGGCGCGAGCCAGGGGGCAGCAGTTCTCTGGGCCGTTGTGGGGGCTCCAACCGCTAATGGCCCTGCGGCGGAGGCGGCGCTAGCAGCTTCGGGGGAGGGGGGCCCCCCCGCAGGCGCGCCTACCCGCCCTTGGCCTCTCCCTCCTCCCTCCCTTCCCGCAGACTTCGGCTAGGCCCCCCGCCCTCCCGGGGTGGAGAGGTGTAGGAGGGAAAGGAAAAAAAAAAAGATGCTGCAGGCGATTATCGGGGTGCTCTTTGAGAAGGCGAAGGCGTACGTGCGCACCAAGGAGTTCCGGCAGTACGTGAAGAGCACGCACTTCTGGGGCCCCGTGGCCAACTGGGGCCTGCCGCTGGCCGCCTTCAAGGACATGAGGGCGTCGCCCGAGATCATCAGCGTCCGCATGACGCTGGCGCTCATCTTGTACTCGCTGGCCTTCATGCGCTTCGCCTACCGCGTGCAGCCCCGCAACTGGCTGCTGCTGTCGTGCCACGCCACCAACGTGCTGGCGCAGAGCCTGCAGGCGCGGCGCTATGTGCAGCACCGTCGTCGTGGCGCGGCCCCGCGGCCCGAGTAGGCCCAGGGCTCGCCAGCCCCGGGAGTGGATTTGTTTTTGACAGCCGGAGCCTTCAACCTCTTCTCGTCTTGCATTATCATCACAACCCCCACCCCCTTTTTAAAAAAAAAAAAACAACTTTTTTTTTTCATGGAAAAAGAGATTAGATATTTGTATGAGACTGACCTTTCAAAACAACCATCCTCTAAAAAAAAAACAACCCAAATTTGTGCCTGAGAATCTCTTGGGTTTTCCCAGAAGGCTTTTTCTTCCATTCTCAGTCCGTAGTTATTAATTATTAGTTAATTAAAAAGAAAAAAGAAACGCTTAAGTGGAGTCGTGGTTATTTTTATAGTCTGAAAACGTTATCGTCATCATCGTTATCATCATCGTCCTTGTTTCTTATAAAGAGGACACTCTCCCCGCACAGGAAATTGGCAAAGATGATGACAACAGGTAACACGATTTTAAAGATTTGGGGGTAGAAGGATTAGCTTTTGGATGGTTTCCTAACAGGATGCTAGAACTAGATAGGTCAGGGAACCTGGATGCATCTTAATTTTCATTACTTGAAATTGAGACTTAACTTCAGTTATGGAGGTAGATACATGTTTTGGAAAGAGAGCTGTAGGCTTCACCAGACTGACTAGAGAGAGAGGGGAAGGGACGGTAACACAAAAGAGGGTTAGAAAAATATTCAAATTTAAAAAAAATTACTGTTTCGAGATTAGACTTTAGAACTGGGTATGACCTTAAAAGATCAGCTCAACTCTAACAATGCCGCCCCCCAAACCCGCGGGACACCCAGATGGAATTAACAGCATCTTTTTCAATACTGGAACCTGGGCAGAGGCACAAACACTTTCACAAAAACCTACAAAACCAGTTATTTTTCTACTGGGGGCAGAACATAAGCTAAAAAAAAAAATGCACCCAGAGAAAATTTAATGTTAAAATACTTTAATTAATACATTGTTTCTCAAACTATTACAAGGAACCTTCAAACACCCTAGTTTTTTTTTTAATGAAACTTCGTGTTATTTGTTAATAATAAATATTAAAAGTAATGAGTTTAAAGGATTTTACTGCAAGGGTTCTGCCAATGTTTTGTTTAAGCCGAAGATTTAAATCCACTGTGGAAAATTTTGAGAAGCACTGCTTTAACATAAGGAGAATAAGACCCTGAAATGCCTTACCCAGGGGATCTACACACCATTGAGAATGCTTTCAGTCAGTTCTCCTTCCAGGAGAGTAAACAAATGGGTAAAGTGAACTATTCCTCTTTTTTGTTTAGGAGAGTAGTTGGCAGTTTGCAAAATCTGGTTAAATTTAGTCCTGCTTGAAGGTAGATGAATAGGCTAAATTGTATTCGGCAACCCTTTGTAGTACTTGGTGATGTTGGTATTTGGGCAACTTGGGGATACCGTTATAGACCTATCTCATAAAAAAAAAAAAACAAACCCTTTTTGCTTACTAGTTTCTTCTCAATTCTTTCCTGTGAATGTTTTTAATATATAAAGTCTAGGCATTTCTAAGTACCCTAATGGTACATTGCCCATTACTCAATCCTCTAACTAGGATTAATTCTTCCTTATAAATTTTTATTGCCTCTTTGTGAGGCATTGTATTCTGAACAGGAAATATGGTAAAGGATACAGAGATGACTAAGATTTTAATCTCTTCCTCTCAAAAATCCTATGGCGAGTAGGTGGATGTGAATTGTTAAAACAACTAAATAAAAGGCATAAAGTAGGGTGACTGGCTTTGGAATTAGAGGCCCCAGGTGCCTGGATTTGAATGGGCTTTAGTTTCCTTTTCTGTAAAATAAGTGGTTGGAACAAGATGACTCCAAAGCCCTGAAAAGGACTAAAATTACTATGCTCTTCTAGGAGCATAGTAATCTGAAATATAAACAGAGGTTGGGCTGCCAAGGAAGGCTTCATGAAGTTGTGGGAGATATTTCTTGTGACAGTTTCTAATGCATTTGAACCCAAAGTCAGTTTTCAGAAAAATTGAAAAAGGCATTAATTTATAATTAGAATATGTACAAATAAAACCACCATACTTTTTCTACTCCTCCTACTCCCTCTACTCCTACATATTAATTAGATTTTACATCTAAACAAAGATTGTATATTTAAAAGCAGACATTTTTTATTTTATGCATTCTGCCAAAATACAGGAGCTTTGGATGGGTATGGTTTTTCAATAAGAATTGTTAGGGCTAGGTTATCAGCCTCATGTGGTAAGTACTATCCATATGAAGACCTTGCAGACTACAGAATTTATGGCTGTGAAATTTCCTTTTGTTCTTGACAGTGATTCTTTTATGTTCTGTAGACACTGCAAATTGATGAAGCTTCTTTATGTAGCTCTAATCATAGGGAGCAATTCTAATTAAAACAGTTTCATAAGACCCAAGTGTTTCCTTCCCACAGAAATGTCACAAAGCAATAATTAATAAAACCTTGTTATTCTTGACTCTGAGTTAATGTCAGTGCATTTCCTAGGGCCAGGCTCTTAACAGGTGAGTTTTTATTCACCTATAATAGGTGAATTTATTTATCGAGGTAATCTCAATAAATTTTTGGTCATGTTAGATACAAACAAGATAAACCATCCTAGTTCAGCTTGCCTTTTTCCCAGTCCAGAAACTTTCCCTTTCATATAGAATATATTTTTCTGCCAATTTGAACCCCTCCTTTGGGCTTTTGATGAGATAGGTAAAAGGACTTACTTGGAAAGCAAACAATGGATTTAGAACAGGGGTTCCTAAGATGGGGTCCACAGATCTTAGTGGGGTGGTCTTGTGAACTTGGAAGGGAAAAGGTTACATATTGATTTTTACTAACTTTTATGAAATTTTGTCATTTCCTCCAATTATTTAAAAATGTTATTCAGAGAAGGGGTCCATAGGCTTGGTCCATAGGCTTCCCCAGACAACCAGAGGAGTCCATGACACATAAAAGGTTGGCTTTCTGGAATAAAACTTAAGGCTAATAACTATGCTTCTCCCCCCCCCAATACATCTGTGCTCATAAGTAATCTACAACTTTATCACCAAGATATTTTGTTGCTGTCTTCTTGATGGACCACTGTCTTTCAAGAAACTAGGATTGAACAGTTCCAGAAAAACCTATCCCTTCCCAACAGTTACTGTAATGTTAAGCCATTTATTCATAATTGAGGCTTCACATTCTGTCCCAAGAGAAAGACTTCTAGTTAACAATTGCTTTACCAAAATTGGTCTTATGGGAAGTATGATATAAAAGGGAATCCAAGAGCAATGATTTTGGAGAAATTAAACTGTTAAAACAGATATTAAATACTTGAACTTTCTTAACCTTTAAAAAGACAAGACAAAGAATCTAAAAAATATTTGTATGCCCTAACATCTTATATAGGGAACGGTATGATAAATAAACTTTTATACACTTCACGTGAAAAGAAGTTCCAAGTTCCAAGTTTATGTTATTTTCAAGAAGATGTACTGTTTATTAATCCATGTTTTAAAACTTAGCAAAGTGATACAATACCAATTCCAAATTGCCTGTATTAACAGGGAGAAAAAAAAAGAGAAGAAAGTTTAAGGGTAATACAAAGCTGATAATGCCTAAATATTTGATTTTGTAATTCACTCACACATTCTACTCACCAGTATTATTTTTCCACTCCACTTTTTAAAAAACTTATCAAAGTGATATAATACCAGCTCCAAATGGCCTACATTAATGGGGAGAAAGAAGGGAAGAAAGGGTAAGGATAATACAAAAGAGATGATGGTCAGATATTTGATTTTGTAATTCACTCACACGTTCTATTTGCTAATACCTTTCTTCCACTTCCATATTGGGGGTGGGGATGAAGGGAGAGGAATAAGCATTTATTATGTGGCAAGCATTGTGCTAAGCACTTTACAAATATTATTTCATTTGATCCTCACAACAGTATCCTGTAAGCTAGGTACTATTATAATATCTATTTAACAGTTGAGGAAATTGAGGCAAACAGTTTAAGTGACTTGCCCAGGGTCACACAGTAAATGTCTGAGGCTTCATTTAAACTCAGGTTTTCCTGAATTCAGGTCCAGCACTCTATCCTCTGCACCATCTAGCTGCCATTGGCCTGTCTTACCAGTAGCTCTGGGACTTGTCTTCCTAGTGATGGGCGGAGGTCCTATATTCTGTAAATAATCTACATCAATAATTGAGAAATTGTTGTTTTATAGCATAGCTTTGCAAATAAATTTAGAATTTTAAGGCCCACCACACAGTGGTCTTTATGTAACTTTTGAATGAACTCTCATTTCTTTAGGTCAGGAGACCACAAATCTCTCTCTGCATTAAATATATTCAGGACTTAATATAAATTATAGGATAATAAGATTTGAGAGCTGGGAGGGAAATTAAGAGATTATCTTGTCCAGCCCCTGCATTCTACTCATGAGGAGGTCCAACATCATCAAGTGGTTAAGTAGAACTAGGATTAAAACCCAGATCTTGGCTCCAAACTCAATGCTTTCTACTATCCCATACTACCTTTTTTGATTTATTTTGAAGCCTGGAGGGCAGAAAGACTAGTATGAAAAAAAGGACATAAAATTTCTTTTGAGACTCTGAACTCACCATATGCTTATAAGCATACCTGGTGTATATGGTACCACTAAATATGGGTGATGAACTGATAAATAGCAGTGTCCCCTTAGCATATTAGATACTTTGAGCTAAAATTCAGTGAATAGAAAACCCATTCTGAAAGTGCTAAAAGGACCAGAACCTTTATGAAACATAATTTATTTCAAGATTATTTTTAATATAAAACTACAAGGACATTTTCCTATTCCACTAAATGTCATGTTACTGGAAATTAATATATTTCTTTAGTGCTCAAGTAAAATGTATTTTTTAGAATGCAGCATGCTTCATAAAAAAGCAATTTGAATTATATTTCATTAAAAGGTCACTGCCTACTGAAAAATTTCAGAATGGGTGGACTTCTATTAGCCGGGAAGTGGGGGGGAG